TTATGACCAACCTAGACAGCATGTTAAAAAGCAGAGACATTACTTTGCCAACAGAGGTCCATCTAGTCAAGGCTATGGTTTTCCCAGTGATCGTGTATGGATGTGAGAGTTGGACTGTGAAGAAAGCTGAGCGCCAAAAAAATTGATGTTTTTGAACTGTGGTGTTGGAGAAGACTCTTGAGAGTCTCTTGGACTGCAAAGAAAAGAGATACAGCCAGTCCATCCTAAAGGAGATCAGTCCTGGATATTCATTGGAAGGACTGATACTGAAGCTGAAACTCCAATACTTTGGCCACCTGATGCGAAGAGCTGAGTCACTTGAAAAGACCCTGATTGTGGGAAAGACTGAGGGCAGGAGGAGAAGGGGGCAACAGAGGATGAGATGGTTGGATGGCATCACTGACTTGATGGACATGGGTTTGGGTGGACTCAGGGAGTTGGTGATGGACAGGGAGGCCTGGCGTGCTGCGGTTCATGGGGTCGCAAAGAGTTGGACGTGATTGAGTGACTGAACTGAACTGATATGATGGCGATCACTCCATATCTGTGGACAGAGATCTTCCTGCTTTATTTTTACAGCTGCATAGTACTCCACTTATGAATGCAAGAGGTTTGGGGTTTGTTTTCAGTTTCCTGTAATAGAGTTTTGGGTTGTCATAACCTCTCTGTTACTAAAACAATGCAGTGCTGCAATGAAAAACTTTGAAACATTTGACAATTAAAAAAAAAATCAAAGTTAAAAAAAAAATCAAAGTTAGTTGTATTAAATGCAATAATAAGCTTATAGGAGAGTTCCAGCACCATGGTAATCATTCCTTGTTAGTAATTAGTAATAACCTTCCCCCACATATTGAATATTGCTGAAAGGTTGTTTTTGACCCACAAAAAGATGCTGGGATTCTTGGCCTCCAGAAGAGAAGAATTCAATCTGGGACCAGAGACGGGGCTTGATCGCTCAGAGCTCTTGTGTAATAAAGTTTTATTAAAGTATAAAGGAGATAGAGAAAGCTTCTAACATAGGCATCAGAAGGGGGCAGAAAGAGTACCCCACTGCTAGTCTTCAGCTGGATGTTATATAGTCACTTGCAGTCTGTAAATGAAAGAAAGGAATGTCTTAAAACTCAGAATGGCACCAGGCCCCTCATCCATAAGATGTATTTTGGGATAATCTTGGCACCAGACGATTCATCTTGGCACCAAACGACTGACTTGAATCTTGTAGAAGGGAAGATTATCATACAAATAGTTTCATTTACATAGATTAGGGGAACAATACCTAAGTATAACATAATGGTTTGTCAAGTAGATTCTGAGCCATTAGGCAGAACCGACTTGAAGACAGAGTCTGGGGTAAATGCATAGTATATTAACATAGCTTAAGACAAACATTTCCATAAGAAAAATGCATTGGTTAACTCAAGGTCTGAGAATAGTTAACTTCAGGTGAAACCAGGTATCAGTATGACAACAGTATTTTAAGAGAAACCTCCTTTTAAATTTGTATAGAGAAGGAAAAAAATATAGCTAGTTTGTTTCCTCCTGCCTCTTAAGAGAGATAAAAATGTCTGACACCTGCAGCTTCTTTTTTCCATTTGGAGACCCCTGGCCTTCCTGCCTCTTACCCTCTAAAAAGGAGTCTGGACTTCCTGGATAGAACTTTGGAGAGTCCCCAAGAACACTGTCACAAGTCTATAGGTGCCCTGACGTCACCGCAGCAACACGTAAGTGATCNATGGTTGGTTTATTACAAAAGAATATAACTCAGGAACAACCAAATGGGTGATAGGGCAACATATGGGGAAAAGGCATGCACCTCTATGCTCTCTCTCTGAGTGTACCACCTGCCCCCAAGCCTCTGCATGTTCACCAGCCTGGAAGCTCTTGGAACCTCCTATTATTGGGATTTTTATGGAGGGTTCATCCTGAAGGCATTATCAATCATTAACTCTGTTTTTAGGCCTTCTCTCTTCTCAAGAACATGGTAAGTGGGACTGAAAATTCCAAGCTTCTAATCAGCTTTTCTGGTGACCACCCACCATCCGGGAGCTGTCCAGAGCTATTCAGTTCAGTTCAGTCGCTCAGTCGTGTCCGACCCTTTGCAACCCCATGAATCGCAGCACACCAGGCCCCCCTGTCCATCACCAACTCCTAGAGTTTACTCAAACTCATGCCAGAGCTATTACATTAGACTAAAAGATGCTCCTATCACCCAGGAAATGACAAAGGCTTAGAAGCACTGTCAGGAACCAGGGTCAAAGACCAAATATTAGAACAGAAATGCCTCAAGAGCTCTTATCACTTAGGAAATTACAAGGGTTTCAGGAGCTCTGTGCCAGGAACTGGGGCCAGAACCAATATATATTTTCCATTACCTCACAAGGTGGAATATCCAGTAGTGTGTGAGACATGGTTCTGGGAGTAGCTATGTTCTCAGGCATTGCATAACGGGAGAAGCTGAGAAAAGGAACCCAACTATATAGAGATGCAGAACTAGAGAAGAAGGAAGAAGTTCCTGGTGGTGGTCTTCTGAGACAAGCCATATCTCTGCCTTTCCTGCTATTTTGTTACATGGAACAGTAAGTTTCTCTTTTATTCTAAAAAATAAAGAGGAAATTAGGCAGTGAATTAAGATGATACATTGACAAAAAGCATTGCCAACAAAAAAGCTCATACTAGAATCAGAACCTATGTTGATTCTTAACTCTATTATAGTTTTCTCTTAGTTCATCTGGTTTTTCAAACAGAAGAGTTCACTGCACCTGGGACACAGTTGGTGCTTGATAAGTGAGTGTTGATTGAACAGATGAATGAGTAAACAAAGGATGCACTATCATTTCTTTTCAGTGATTATTTTCTCAACAATCTAAACACGTATTAATAGGTTATAATTCAATCTGAAATTAGAATATGTTTCTTAAATCTAAGAGTTCCTGAATTTCAAGTTGGTTCTCACACAACTGATAAAAGCACTATTTTATCATCTGTTTACTAAAGAAAGAGTCAATGTCCTGGATTGGCAAGTTTGAAAGAAAGATGGGAAATATTCTCTCTAACTGGTGTTCTTCTATGGCTATGGAACATTTAAAATCTACCCCTTGCAAATCAACAAGAATTTTATCTTCATGTTACTAAACCATGGTAGACACCACAAATTTATTTTATGAAACTACACTGCATGTAGAGCAAACTTGTTCCATTCATCAAGGCACGCTTGCTCTTACTCTTATTTACTAAAACTCAAAAAGAGGCATTCTGTTTGCTTAACCTAGATAAGTGACATATCTTGAGATCTTTCATTGCAAATAAAAACTTACTGAATTGTCAGGGTCCAGTGAAGAGCAATAAATTAATTAAATGGAAAAAATAATATAAAGAACTATTAACTATATACAAGCAGTAACTAAAGATGAAAAGATAACTCTAAAGAGTATCCTAGGTCTGAGAAAGAGTGCTTGAGGAAGGAGTAACGTGTGAGGGGCTCCCTCCCCATGGCTGAGATTCACTTTTTTCGAGATGTGGATTTAGCCTATTGGATGATGGAGAAATTTTCTCAGCTGCCTAAGCCAAAGTTGGTACACCGTCCAGGCAAGCACGGGATACTCCTTTAGGCTGCAGGTGGGCAGAGACCACCAAATAGGCATGCTGGGGGAGCTAGGCGTCAGCTGTGTGATACTAAGCCTGGCGTGTGTGGTGTCCACATTGGGAAAACAGTAGGAGCACCCCTCCAGGGTGCAAGTGGACTGAGGCTGGCAGGTGGTGAGCAGAGGGCGAGCACCAGGGCATCAGGAACCCATCTCAGAGAAGTGCAGTGTGAGGCTGGGGGTACCTAATGTTCACATTGTGAGGACTGTGAAAAAGTGGGGGTGGGCTGGGGCTGCAAGCTCCCCATGGGGTCTCACACTCCTGGGGGCCCAGTGGAACAGAGTGTCACTAAAGTTCCACACATGCACTCCTAGTAATCATGAATTTGGAGCAAAATAAGGCAAAATCAAAGCACATTAAAAAAAGAGAGAGAGAGAAGCCTTTGCTCCTGCAATGTCCCTCCAGCACCCCATTTTAAATCATAGGTTTATTATTCGGGTATGGTAAGGCCAAGTCAGGAGACAATTGCCCTTGAAAAGATAGCTTGTTACTCACAGTTCCCAAGAGGAGAGAGGAGGCCATGCCACATAGGGCCACATAAGGATGCGTCAGTCGGTCAGGAGGCAGAGGGAGTGAGAGGAAAACATGGGCAAGAGTCTTTATTGTGGTCTTCCTGGGAAAGAATAGGAGAGGCAGGGTAAATAGGCCTAGGATCAAGTAGCTTAGATCATTTTAGTGAGCTCCAGGGGGTAGGGGCTGCCCCTGGTTGTCTGATAACTGGCCCTGAAATGATTAGTGTAAAGGAGCAGTGGCCCATAGTACAAGAGCCCAATAAAAGACTGGTTGAGGGGTATGGGCTCTGAATTGTTTAGTGTGCGTCTCAAAGCTGTGCCTGCAAGCAAGCCCTTTGCTGTCTCTAGGAACTGGCTACCTGGCAGTCTCTCCAGGGTCAACAAGGCCCCAGATGGCAAACCATCAGACATACATGGTTAATACAACCCCCTACTGACAAGATGTGTTTACTGCAGAGGAGAAATGCTTTATTACCGTAGATCAAGCAATGAAGGGGGGATTTGTAGCTGAGATGCATTCATTACTAACCAGCACAACTACTCAGATTATTGATTATCCTGTTTAAAGATTTTCAACCAGTTGAGTTCAGCTCTGAGTGTTTATTTATTTCATTTTATTTTTTGGTCAGTGATAGCATCATCTTTGGAAAATTGATCACTGTGTTTTGTATTCTGTAATGGTCATTTTGACTTATTTTCCACTGTCCATTTTATTCAAATCATCAGTTTAAACTAGTCATAGTCTTTTGACAGAGATTGATCCAGAGCAGCATACGTCTAAGCTGTGTTGACCTGAAACAAATAAGCTGCCAGGCTTTTCTCAGAAAAGATGGGTTTACTCTGAAGCAACAGGGAATTGCAGTTGTAGGTCTGCAACCATGCTGAGCCACGTGCAAGTTCACGCACCGCAAGGGAAGAAGCACATTTTCATAGAGGGAAAAGGAAGTTGGGAGGCTATAGTAAGCAGAGTCCATAGCTTTTCATTGGCCAAGTCCTTGCCAGGAAAGCAATCTTTCTTACAACCACTGAGCTCGGCTATCACTGCAGGGTGTGAGAGCTCCCCCTTCTGGTTTCCCAACTCTATTTAACTCAGGTTTCTGTTTATTAATTCTTAATTTTTTATAGCAAATTTAGGTAAGCTAAACTAAAAGGAAATGTTTGCTAGAATCTCTGGGGATGAAAATGTTCTAGGTCTCATCATCGCATCTGAACTAGAAAATGCAGCTCTACTGCTCCTGGGATCCAGCTTGTACACAGGAGGCCAGCTTAAGGGCAATGCCAGAACAAAGGAGGATAGAGCTAAGAGAAGAGGTGAGGAAGGAATACCACCCCTAGAACCTAACTGGGGCTTCCCTGATAGTTCAGCTGGTAAAGAATCCACCTGCAATGCAGGAGACCCCATTCGATTCTTAGGTCGGGAAGATCCCCTGGAGGAGGACATGGCAACCCACTCCAGTATTCTTACCTGGAGAATTCCATGGACAGAGGAGGCTGGCGGGCTGCAGTCCATCAGGTCACAGAGTCGGACATGACTGAGAGACTAAGCGCAGCACACAGCACACAATATGACTTGTCTCTGAATTTCCTCTTATGGTAGATAATAAATATCCTTATGATGCAAAACCATTTGAGCCAGGGTTTTCTGTCACTTGAAACCAAAAGTACCATAACTGATTCAAGTTCTCTTTTATTCATACTTCTGCTGTATTATTTATTGCTCATCACAACTATTTTTTCTGAATTTATCTTCCTAACTAGACTATTGTCTCCTTGCCTTGAGCTTGTCTTAGTTAACTTAATCTTTCTAGATAGCAGACAAAAGCTATTATATATAAAATAGATAAATGATAAAATCCTACTGTATAGCACAGGAAACTTTATTCAATATCCTATAATAAAACATAATGAAAAATAATGTGAAAAAGAATATATATACATGGGTATATATATACATACATATATATATGTATGTATATATATAAAACTGCATAACTGAATCACTTCGCTGTACATCAGGAACTAACACCACACTATAAATCAACTATACTTCAATAAAAAAAGAAATGGACAAAAAACCAAATAATCATAACTGTAACACATGCTTTAAAAAAAAAAAGTATGCAGTGTACCAAATAACCAGAAATTAGGAGGTCAGCAAAACCTGATAAGTTGGAATATTTGATGAGCTAGAATATATGATGAACCAAGTGACACAGCCCCAAGTTCAACCAGGAAGTTTGGGGGAGTTTTGACCATCTATTGGGACACCACTGTGAAGATTGGTTGGACTTAGTTGTTAGAGCATCTAAATCCAGGAAATCTGGGCATTCACTACTGGATAAGGCTCATCTCTGGAATAATCTGAATGAAATAGAGCTGGTTGGGGGTTAGGTTGGTGGGTTTCTGTGGACTGGCACACCTGCAGTTGGATGTGGCCTCTGAGCTCTCCCTTGCTTGTTTCAAACAGTGGGAAATACCAGTTCTGTAAAGCACTCTGCCTACTTTGCTCCCATTCATACTGGGTCCATGCTAGCTGCTGAAAACTCTAGCGCCACCATTTCTTGCACAGTCACCAATCAGACAATATTCATAGAGGCCTACAGTGTGCCAGACTTTGTGCCAGTCTGTGAAGATATTGCAGTGCTGCAAGAGGCAAGGGGCTTACTGCCTGATTCAAAGATTTCCAACTTTCTTGGTTCACAGTAGTTTATTTGTTGGTGTCAGTAGTTTATTCACAGCACCCTTAGGCTGAAAGAAATTCCTATCAGTTCCTTTTTCTTAGAAGTTAGATCCAAACAACTTCTGTCTGAACAACTTAGTAGCTATTTTAAGATACAACTCTAAATTAAGGGGGCTTCCCAGGTGGCTGTGGTAAAGAATCTGCCTGCAATGCAAGAGATGCAGAAGACGTGGATTTGATCCCTCGTCTGGAAGCTCCCCTGGAGGAGGAAATGGCAACCTGTCAGGAAGCATTTAACAAGAGGCTTCTGTCAGGAAACCTTTGGTCCTTATTAATTCCTGAATACTCAGGAATTAAGAGGAGAGGCACGCCTTTCTGGGGCTGAGGAATCCAGGCATTTCCTTTGTTAGTTTCTCATTATGTTGATAAGTACCCTCCTCTCTCTTTAATAGGGATCGCCTTGTGTTTTGTAAATCTGGAATTTTAATCTTTATCTTTGCTGAGAATAACTACAGTATATATGCCCATGCCATGTTGATTAAAACACCTTTGCTCCATCAGAGTTTTGGTCCCCGTGTCTTTCTCTCTCTCTCTCTCTCTCTCTCTCTCTCTCTATTTAGGGCTGTTTCCCTGGAGCGCAGAAGCCGGCTTCGTAACCCAAGGAATATTAGCCTCTTTCCTTCTTTCACTTTCTCATCGTCGACTGCGGACCACCAGGTTCCAGTCCATTAAAGGACCAACAGCAACCCACTCCAGTATCCTTGCCTGGAAAAACCCATGGACAGAAGGGCGTGGCGGTCTACAGTCCGCAGGGTCACAAAGAGTTGGATATAACTAACACACACACACTAAAAAAGAAAAAAATAACATCTTTATTTCACCCAGGGCATGCCTACCTGTTGGACACTGCACAACTTCTCCAATCTTAGAATCAGATTGGACATCGCCAACCTCATTCCCTAAACACAGTGATTTTTGTGAGGTTCTAGCTTTTTATCACAATTGTTAGAAACCCAGCTTGGCAAAGATATGACATCATTCAAAATATAGTGAAAAGAAATGCAGTCGAATGGAAATCATGAACTACCTCCACTCATAAGAAGGATGTCAAACAGATAACCTCTATTTCCCTCAAGTATTTAAAATATGCTACAGTGCCCCTGAGAGTGCATCTGTGGTACCCCAGCACTGGCAGATCATGACTTAGAAATAGGTCTATGATTAGAACTGTCCAAACCCACAGCAGAGTTTCTCAAATGAGGAGCACTTAAACGTGTGTTCATTAATGTATGTCTTTACACAGCCGAAAGCCAGAGGATTCGGGATCAGTCTCTGCGTCCTTTGTGGCAGAGAAAACTCTCTGCGAGAGAAAAGGGAGACCCAAAAGCTCCCACAAAAAAAAAACAACAAAAATTGCGCTGGGGGAGACGCCAAAAGGTGTCCCACACTCTGTGACACCACAGACACCACAACACAACACGCCCCCCTCCCCCACAACACCCCACAGTTTGCCCAAATTCATGTCCATTGAATCGGCGATGCCACCCAACCATCTCATCCTCTCTCACCCTCTTATTTCTTCTACCTTCAGTTTTCCCCAGCATCAGGGTCTTTTCCAATGAGTTGGCTCTTTGCATCAGGTGGCCAAAGTATTGGAGCTTCAGCATCAGTCCTGCCAATGATTATTCAGGGTTGATTTCCTTCAAGATTGACTGGTTTGATCTCCTTGCAGTCCAAAGGACTTTACAGGATCCTATTTTCTAAACCACAAATCCAGAAACAAAGGTGGGTGAACTTTTAAAGACAAAGAACCTGAATGTTGTCTTGTTCTGCCCTGGAAGGCTTGGACACATTGTCACCATCTATGAGAAACCCCAGTACAAGACCAACCTCCAAGTCCAGGACCAGCTGAGTCTCAAAGAGGCTGCAGAAATTCCTAAATTCCCATATGCATGCTTGTCTACAGCCTGCCCCAGGAGAAAGTAAGGTGGCATAGAAACATGCTCAAAAGACTACCTGGTAGGTAGTCCTACTATAGGACTTCTACAAAACTGATGCAAAGCCATTTAAATCCATTTTTCTCATCCTTCTCAATCCATCATTTAAATACATACATACTCACACAGAGTCATCTCACTTAAGGACCCTAGTAAATAGCTTTAGCACAACAAAAGTTTGAAGAAAGAAAACGGACTCCTGAAACAACCTAGCACATTTATAAATAGGTTTATTATACCAGCTCTTAAAATATATAACTGAAGGAATTTTCTCAAGTGATAGCAGTGGTCCATACTTTTACGGAGTTGTGGCTCAGTGGTAAAAATCTGCCTGCAATGCAGCAGGAGACACAGGAGACTTGGGTTGGCTCCTGGGTCAGGAAGATCCCGTGGAGGAGGGAACAGCTACCCATGCCAATATTCTTGCCTGAAAAATTCCATGGACAGAAGAGCCTGGGGAGTTACCATCCAGGGTGCTGCAAAAGAGGGACTGAGCATGCAACAATAAGTGGATAACAGGGGTGAATAATTAGGCAAAACTCACCTAACTGTGGACAGATGCNGCAGCTTCGGAACCACCGGAGCCGCGTACAAAAGGAGACTCTCGAGGTCTTGCCTGAGACCCGCCGGGTGCACCTTAGGCCCCGGAGCTCCGCCCCGAGCCTGGGCCCCGGGCAGCTCCGCCCCGCGGTGAGCCCTGCCCCTTGCGCTCCGCCGGGCGGCGATCCAACCCACCCAGCCTCCGTCCCGCTTGGTCGCTCTCCCGGGGTCCTCGGACGTAGGGCGCGATGGCAGCCCCCTCCGAGGCCCCGGTCACGCGGCAGGTCAGCGGGCACGCCGCCCCAGCCCCAGTCCCAAGCGGCCCCGAGAGCTGGCAGCCCCTGGCCGCCGCCGTGGCCGAGCTGCCCGTGCTGGACGCCTCCGGGAGGCCTGTGCCGTTTGGTGAGCTGTTCCGAGAGCGCCGGGCTATCGTGGTCTTCGTGCGGGTGAGCACGGGCGACGGGACGATCCGGCGCAGGGACCTCACCTGCAGGCAGGGACGGAGGTTGTTTTTCCAGGGCGTCCCCTGGGGGGAGTTACATCGGGCCTCAGGAATGGTCCAGGACCGGAGAACGGAGCCCGCCGGGCCTGACTCTTTTCCTCTAGTGGTCGTCCGCTAAAGGTGGTGGAAGGCGGACTCGGCTCTCGCTTCCTTGAACGGGAAAGGAAGAGCAGCCCGCCAAGCCAAGGCCATTTTCTCAGCGAGCCAAGAGGCCTAACAGAGACTGGGTGGGGCCCAATTTCAGGGCACATTTGGGCACCCTTGACATCTCTAACCGTCTTGGGTGTTGCATTTGGTTAACGTCACGCATAATTAAGTACTTGGTTATTTGTGACTCCGAGAGTGTTAGTTGCTAACTTGTCCTTTTTGCCTGTGTTGGGATTTCAGCATTTCCTGTGTTACATCTGCAAGGAATACGTAGAAGATCTGGCCAAAATCCCCAAGAGTTTCTTACAAGTAAGTTTCCCGAGAGTGAGCAGCAGTGTGCCTTGCTTCCGGGAGGCCTGGTGAAACTCACCTGCCATTTATGAGGAGTGTGATGGCATGAGGTGCGGCATGCGCCGCCTCTCCAGCGCAGACGCTCAAACCCAGATTATCACCATCCCACACATCACCCCAACACGTCCAAAAAGGGAAGAGACTCATTGGAAGTGTATCTCTGTCCTATTCATTACTGCCTGATTATAAAAGTACTAACCATAATAATAATTTTGAGGTTACCTAATAACCTGCCTATTCTCAAATGTTGATTATTACCAAAAACAGAAATGCTAGAAATATTTTTTCTTTAGTTTTGTAATACAGACACTCCAAATAGTTGTTCATTACAGAAAGTTACTAGTATAACTTAAAGGTGAAAAATTTGTATCCTTAATGGAATTACAATTCCACATTCTTGTGACCACCACGTACAGGTGTACTTCTTCAAGCATATGGAGGTTTGTCCCCAGGTTAGCTCTTTAGTGAAAGCATTGGTAGCTTCTGTAAAATTAAGATCTGTTTTCAGCAGACCTTGTCAATTGAGATGTGAAAGAATAAAGATGTCTGATTAAATAACGCTACTTTAATAGTTTTTATTCTAGTTTAATGTATGCCTTTGGGGAAAGTGTAAAGAATTACTGACTATTATTTTTAAATTCTTACTTAGCAAAAGAATCATCTGAATTAATTGAATATTTTAGCATAATTGCTTTGACTCACACAATTTGGCTGTTTATACCATTCTTCTGGAAGCCTGTAGGTGGCATTAAAATGGAAGAAAAGAGTTGGATTAGGGGAAGTTTTAATTAGGGGAAACATAATTTCTAATAATATGTACATGTCCTTTTTCTCTCCTAAAGGAAGCAAATGTCACTCTCATAGTGATTGGACAGTCATCCTACCATCATATTGAGGTAAATATATAGCCAATTGGGACCCTAACAGGTTGAATCAGTTTTAGACATAAAAATTATATAATTACTTGAATCACTGAAGTGTTAGTCACTCAGTCATGTCCAACTCTTTGCAACCCCATGGACTGTAGCCAGCTACACTCCCCTGTCCATGGAATTCTCCAGGCAAGAATACTGGAATGGGTAGCCATTCCCTTCTTCAGAGGATCTTCCTGACCCAGGGATCGAAACTGGGTCTAAATTTGCTAAAATTTAGTCAGATTATCACTATTTTTCTCTCATTTGTCTTGATAAAAATTCCAACAATACTTTTTTTTTCAGCCTTTCTGTAAACTAACTGGGTATTCTCATGAAATCTATGTTGATCCTGAGAGAGAAATTTATAAAAGATTGGGAATGAAAAGAGGTGAAGAAATTGCCTCCTCAGGTAAGACATGTCTCAAGTAGGAAGTGCTAATAGTGTATTTCACATTTCACATAAGCATATATATGCATAGGGGAACAAATGATAAATTCATAAATCAGCCTGCTCTTTATGATTCTAGTAAGTGGTCCAGATTCACGATACTCTAATAGATTCATTTCCTGGATGTAATGATGTGGAAGGCTGTTGATGAAGTTCTAAATGAATGAAAAAATGCAAGTTGCAAAGCAGTGTTTTCAGTATGATTTCATTTTTGTGAAAATAAAAACCATTTTCATAAACATAAGTATCTATACTATTATATACGTGTGTGTAATGAAAATTGTTTTAAAAGACACTGCAATGTTTACCCCAAGACATAGGAGTGAGAAAAGTGGCTTTTGTAATTTTTTTTTAACAATGCATATGTTTTACTTTGTAGTTAAAAGAAAAATAATATTGCTTAAGTTAATATATTTTCATACCTCAACACCATGGCTTTGAACACTCTTATGTTCTTTAACTGATTAAATCTTAGTTTTCATCTAAAGCCCAACTCAAAGGGGCTTTAAATAGCTCTACCAGCAGAAGCAATTTCTTCCCTCATTGTTTTTTAATAGCACCTTATACTTTATTATATACTCTATGATTGAACTTAAGGTGATTAGTAGTATAGTTAGTTGAAAGGTTTGATGTTTTATTCATCTCTATATGGTCCACATTCCCTGCCCTTGCACAATTCTTTATAATTAAAAGTACAATAGGCTTTAGGTGAACTATTTATATGTGTTTTAGATAAAAGGAACTTGGCTTCTGAAATACCAAACAAGAGAACTCAGCTAGAACCTAGATCACTTATTCTCAACAAATGTTGAGAATGACACCCACTGTGTTGGCTATTCCTGGGACAACTGAGACAAGAGACACAGCAACTGCCCTCCCAATGCTCATAATCTACCCTGGGAGAAAGAAGCAAAGAGTTAATTACATTACCGATTAGAGCTTTTAAAAGACGAGAGCATGTACTGGTTATAGCTAAAATGCAGAAATGCCTGTAACAACAGAAATGCACAGGGAGAGAAGAATCTGGGAGGGCTTCTTAGAGATGGTGTTGTCTAAGCTCACTCTTTAAGGAGTTAGCTGGGTGAAGTGAGGCTGGGAATGCTGCAGCTGACAGAAAGGAGCACATCGGTATGAAAAATTGTGACTCTTGGAGAACTGCAGTTCTCTATGTCTGGCCAGAGTCTAGGAGCCAGTTGGGATTTGTGTGAGCCAAGGGACTGAGTCTGGGAACAAGCCAAGGAGTTTGGATTTGTTCTCAAGGCAGTGGGGGAGTCATAAAAGTGTTTAAGTGGAGAAGTCTTGTTGCCAGGTATAGGAGCAATTGGAACATGCCAAATAGGAGGTATCAATTGTAATTGGTATTCTTGACAAGTTTTTAGTAATAGGCTAGAAAGAAATGACAGGGCCTGAAGTAGAGACATAGAGGGACAGATCACCCAGCTGCTACTTATAAAGCAGAGTTGACATGATCCCTTCCTTTCAGTTCAGTTCAGTCACTCAGTCATGTCCGACTCTTTGTGACCCCATGAACCGCAGCACACCAGGCCTCCCTGTCCATCAACAATTCCTAGAGTCCACCCAAACCCATGTCCATCGAATTGGTGATGCCATCCAACCATCTTATCCTCTGTCGTCCCCTTTTCCTCCTACCCTCAATCTTTCCCAGAATCAGGGTCTTTTCAAATTAGTCAGCTCTTCCCATCAGGTGGCCAAAGTATTGGAGTTTCAGCTTCAGCATCAGTCCTTCCAATGAACACCCAGGACTGATCTCCTTTAGGATGGACTGGTTGGATCTCCTTGCAGTCCAAGGGACTCTCAAGAGTCTTCTCCAACACCACAGTTCAAAAGNTTTCTTGAAGAGTTTTCCACAGTTTATTGTGATCCACACAGTCAAAGGCTTTGGTGTAGTCAATAAAGCAGAAATAGATGTTTTTCTGGAACTCTCTTGCTTTTTCGATGATCCAGCGGATGTTGGCAATTTGATCTCTGGTTCCTCTGCTCTTTCCAAATCCAGCTTGAACATCTGGAAGTTCACAGTTCATTTATTGCTGAAGCCTGGCTTGGAGAATTTTAAACATCACTTTGCTAGCATGTGAGATGAGTGCAATTGTGTAATAGTTTGAGCATTCTTTGGCATTGCCCTTCTTTGGGATTGGAATGAAAACTGACCTTTTCCAGTCCTGTGGCCACTGCTGAGCTTTCCAAATTTGCTGGAATATTGAGTGCAGCACTTTCACAGCATCATCTTTCAGGATTGAAATAGCTCAACTGGAATTCTGTCACCTTTACTAGCTTTGTTCATAGTGGTTCTTCCTAAGGCCCACTTGACTTCACATTCCAGGATGTCTGGCTCTAGGTGAGTGATCAAACCATCGTGATTATCTGGGTTGTGAAGATTTTTTTGTACAGTTCTTCTGTTCCTTTACTAATGTTTTTAAAGAAAGTGACCTAAACTTTATTAAGACTACTGATGAGGTAGCGTAGAGAATTTGTTCTTTTTTTCCTCCTCCCTTTTTAGTATAGGTAATTGCAACAGTACAGATTGTAAACCTTAATCTTTGGTAGACTATTTTCCTGTGCTATATCAGAGCTTCAGCATGTGTAAGGCCTGTTTATCATTTAGCTGCTTTTGATATAAACTGTGAGTTTTACTTTAGTAACACCTCACCAGTCATTACCTCAATAAAGATAGAGAATTGCAAAGAAAACAGATGAATTTAAAGCAAAATACATGCTTATAATTATAAAGAAAGTATATTCAGATCATTTAAACTCCTTTTTATCTGTGTCAAACAACTCTTTTTCCAAACAGAAAACATTAGGTTCTCATGAAATGATTTTTTTAAAGTTCCCACCTGAAAAAGCACAAGTCTTAGAATCAGTCTCAGAATAATCCTACTTGAAAACAGCACTGAAAATAAAATATAATAATTTAAAATTAATGGGACAGGTTATAAAGACAAACAATAAGAAAATAAAGCCACTAAATTCAAGGAAGTAATGGGTTTACCTGGTATTTCATTTTGCCTTACTTGATAATAAGCCAGTTTATGGTATTAAATCTATAGTGATTGCTATAGACAGCAGATAAGTGCATGCAGGAAACATGCTTCATATAATACTTAATCTAATATTTCAAATTCAAATTCTGGTCTCGAGTCCAAGAATCAAAGTAAAGGGGAAAAAATTTTTTTTAAAAAGCAGGAGTTTTACACATAAGTAAATTCATACTGGCAAAATTAGATTGTGCTTTACAACCAAGATTGTGAAATTCTAGGTTGTGGAATCTTCTATTGAATTTTTAAAATTTCAGAAATATTAAATGACCCTTCTTTGGACGTAAGGGGATAGTTTGGATTTATGAACATTTAGGTATAAAATCCTAAAAAAACATAAACTTTAGTCCTTTACCCATGTCTCTAAGCTAATGAGAATGTATTTGTTTCTTGATAAGATGAATGTCCATCCTCTTATAAACACCAAAGAAATAGAAAAGTTGGAGAGATGAAGAATACAATAACTATCTGGAAATAATAAAAAATCAGGCAGGTCAAAGGCAGCATAATCATTAAAATAAAAAGCCAAAAGCACTAGTTGAAGCTGGACCACAGGGCTGAGGGTTACTCTGTACTGTGACTCCCACAGGAGAAGATAAATGGGACTGGTAACTGGTGTACACTGGTTGACATGCACCTGGAGGGCAGACCGTGGCAGGCAGGAAGACCTGGGCTGCAATGCCTCACTGCTCCGTCATTCTCTGGCCTTAGAATTGGTGGAGTCCAAATTTTTTTTTAATAAAAGGCAGGGGTAGGAAAAAGATAAGTTATAAGACAGATAGTTTCTTTACTCAAAGGTAGTGAAAGTATCAGTAACTGTGAAAAAGGAAATAGAAAAACTAACAAGCAAAGATGGAGAGGTAGCTATAGTTACTGTTGTTACAGCTAAACCTCAAAGTCTCAGTAGCATAAAGTATGAGGTTAGTTCCTTTTCATTCACATTTCAAGAAGGATATTTCTATTGGGTGCTTCTCCAGCTACTGAGGGACACAGTAGGAAAGACTCAGGCCTCTTCCATCATGTGGCTCTGCTATTGTCAATCCAAACTTCAAAGGATGTATTTAGGTTGGTGCAAAAGTAATTGATGTTTTAAACCATGAATTTTAAATCATAACTAGACTCAAACACATCTTTATTAATCAAAGTAGGAATCATTACAATCAAACACATTTTTGCCAACAAGAAATAAGTTGGTTTATTCCTGTAGTGTAAAAATCCATTCTTCAGGATTCAGTGAACTCTTGGAAAGCATTTTCTGCCTCCTGCTGGTTGTGGAAGCATTTTCCCCCGCAAAAAGTTGTCAAGATGCTTGAAGAAGTGGTAGTCAGTTGGCGAGAGGTTAGATGAATATGGCGAATGAGGCAAAACTACATAGCCCAATTTGTTCAACTTCTGAAGTATTAGGTTGTGCTACATGCAGGCATTATCATGGAGAAGAGCTGGGCCCTTTCTATTGACTAATTCTAGGTGTAGACATTTCAGTTTTTGGTGCATCTCATCAATTTGTAATGGTTTCGCCAGGATTCAGAAAGCTTTAGTGAATCAGACACCACCAGTGACCATGACCTTTTCGTGGTGCAAGTTTGGCTTTGGGAAATGCTTTGGAGCCTCTTCTTGGTCTAGCTACTGAGCTGGTCATCACCAGTTGTCATATAAAATCCACTTTTCGTTGCACATCACAATCCAATTGAGAAATGCTTCATTGTTGTTGCATAGAATAAGAGAAGACAATACTTTAAAATAACATCTTTAAAAATTTCCGGTCAGCTCATGAGGCACCCACTCATTAAGCTTTATCACCTTTCCAATTTGCTTCAAATGCCCAATGACTGTACAATGGCCTATGTTGAGTTCTTTGGCAACTTCTCATGTAGTTTAAGAGGATCAGCTTTGATGATCTCAGTTGGCCGTTGTCAACTTCCTATGGCTGGTCACTACATTCCTCATCTTCAAGGCTCTTGTCTCCTTTGCAAAACTTCTTGAACCCCCACTGCACTGTACATTCATCAACAGTTCCTGGGCCAAATGCATTATTGAGTTGTTTCTACTGCTTTACGATTCATTTTAAACTCAAATGAGAAAATTGCTCATATTTGGTTGTCTAACATTTCCATAGTCCAAAATAAATATGAAATAAATAGCAAGTAATAAGTCATTAGCAAAAAAACATAAAATGAGCAATGTGCATTAAAATAGTGTATAACATTTATTTTATATGTTATATATATATATATAACATATGTTATAAATATGTTATATTTATTAACATTTATTAAGAATGTATTCCAATATCAAATGGCAAATTTCAGCAATGCAAAAACTGCAGCTATATTTGCACCAACCTAATAGAAGAAACATGGATAATCACCTCTGGAGAGGTTTTTAAGAGATGCCATGGAAGTGGCACACATTATTTTACTCACTGGTTTGACTGTAGTCATATAGCCATACCAAACCCCAGGAAGACTGGGAAATGTTTAGTTGTGGTCCCAGAAAGAGTAAACAAGTTTCGACCAGTATATAACAGTAGTCTGTGCCACAATGTCTTCTGAAGAGGAATGTAGGTATCTAATACTAGGTAAGAGACTAAACCAAATATAAATGGGGGATTAAAAAGGAAAGTGCTGCCAGCTTGAGAATTCTGTAGCTGACATTTTTCAGTGGCAGAAAATGATCTGGGTCTGTCTTCACTTCTTTTAAAGCAATAGTTCTCAACTGGAGACAATTTTGACCCCTTCCCCCAGGGGATATTTGGCACTTTCTGGAGACATTTTCAGTTGTCACAGTTTGGTAAATGGTGGTTGCCATGGCATGTAGTAAGTTCAGAGAGCACGGATAATGGTAATCACTCTACATTACTCAGGACAAAGACTTATCTGGTCTAAAACATCAGTAGTGAAAGACTGAGAAACTGTTCTTCAAAGGAAGAAAAAAAGGCAAGTCAAAAGTAAGATAACTCATAAGAGAGAGTCTGTTTTCTAAAAATACTAACATTACCTTAATATCAAGTCAAATATAAAGTGATAACATCTAAAGACAATTCCTAATATTTCAGGACAGAGCCCCCATGTAAAATCAAATATACTCTCGGGAAGCATTCGGAGCCTGTGGAGAGCAGTGACTGGCCCTCTTTTTGATTTTCAAGGAGATCCAGCTCAGCAAGGTGGAACACTCATTTTAGGTCCAGGTAAGCATCAAAGCTCAGCTTCAGCAGTGTGCTTTTTATGCTTTCTGGAAGCCAAGAGGCCATCCACTTTCTTTATGAAATAGCCACCATGTGAAAGTGGGCAGCTGGACATGGTAGCAGTCAGGATACTGTGCTTTCCTAGGGGACATTGTTTGTTTTCAAACACTCCTGTATATTTTTGGTGTCTGTTTACTGGATGTACTGTGGCCATCATTCCATGCCTGAGTATTTGGGATAGGGAAAATCAGTGGTGGTTTGGTAATTTGTATGTGGCTATAATACCCTTTAAAAATTTAAGTGGAGGTGAGCAGACGACCCACAAAATGCTTATACCAGAGAAAGTCTTGCACTGTTAAGAAAGTTCTGGGACCTACAACAGATTTCCTAACCTGGTGATCTGGCAAAGGGACTGAGAACCCCCAGAGAATCTGACTTTGGGCGCCAGTGGGATTTGATTACAGAAGTTACACAGGACTGGGGAAACAGACTTTTGGAGGGCACAGACAAGACCTTGTACACACCAGGACCCAGGAGAAGAGAGCAGTGACCCCACAAGAGACTGACCCGGACTTGCCTGTGAGTGTCCAGAAGTCTCCGGCAGAGACGTGGGCTGGTGGTGGCCTGCTGCAGGGTCGGGAGCACTGAGTGCAGCGGTGCATCCACAGGACCTTTTGACGGAGGTCGCGTTTACCTTCATTACCTCCACTATAGTTTGGTCTCAGGTCAGACAACACAAGGGAACACAGCCCTGGCCATCAACAGAAAATTGGATTAAAGATTTACTGAGCTTGGCCCTGCCCCTCAGAACAAGGCCCAGTTTCCCTCACAGTCAGTCCCTCCCATCAAGAAGATTACATAAGCTTCTTAACCTTGTCCTTCATAAGGCAGACAGAATGAAAACCACAATCACAGAAAACTCATCAAACTGATCACACGGACCACAGCCTTGTCTAACTCAATGAAACTGTAAGCTGTGCTACGTAAAGCCACCCAAGGTGGACGGGTCATGGCGGAGAGTTCTGACAAAACGTGGTCCACTGGAGAACGAAATGGCAAACCACTTCAGTATTCTTGCCTTGAAAACCCCATGACAGTATGAAAAGGCAAAAAGATATGACACTGAAAGATAAATTCCCTAGGTTGGTAGATGCCCAATATGGTGCTGGAGAAGAGTGGAGAAATAACTCCAGAAAGAATGAAGAGACAGAGTCAAAGTGAAAATGCCCAGTTGTGGATGTGACTGGTGATGAAAATAAAGTCTGATGCTGTAAAGAGCAATATTGCTTAGGAACCTGGAATGTTAGGTCCATGAATCACGGTAAATTAGAAGTGGTCAAGCAGGAGATGGCAAGAGTGAACATCTATATTTTAGGTGAACTAAAATGGACTGGAATGGGTGAATTTAATTCAGATGACCATTATATCTACTACTGTGGGCAAGAATCCCTTAGAAGAAA